TCTTGTGTTTTTTACGTGCGTTTCTAGATACGTAATTTGCTTCTTGTGTTTTTATGTGCGTTCTAGGTACGTTTCTTTCGGGGTTGACGCTAATTTGCTGCGCCACATGTGGCCTTCCTACGTACAAGGGCATTCTCTTCAACTTCTTCTGCGCCATTTTGCAAGTAATCACGGCCGTCGTGCTACTTGGCTGGATCTGGAGCATTTACTGGGGAGTTATCTTCATTAGGAACGCCAGAACACGTACGTATAACATACGGGAGTAGTCTAGCTACGCGTCGCGCACAATTTCTCTTCATATCTACCCTTGGTACCTCATCACCTACTCCCCACCCCTCACAATTGTTCTCTCTCTCTCTCTCTCTTCTTCTTTTCTTCGTCTCTTTCTCTTCTCTCTACTCTCTCTCGTCTCTCTCTCGCTCTCGCTCTCTCCTCTCTCTTGCTCTCTCTCTTCTCTCTCTCTCTCATCTCTCTCGTCTCTCTACTCTCATCTCTCTCTCTCTGAATTCTCTTTACCTTTTTATGCTTCTGCTAATCCATCTTTTCTTCGCCTCTCTCTCTCTCCTCTGATCTCGCTTACTCTTTCTCTCGCGCTCTCGCGGGCCTCTCTCTACTTTCTTCTCTACTCTACTCTCTCTCTCTCTCTCTCTCTCTCTCTCTGTGTCTCTCTCTCGCTCTCACTCACTATGTCTTTCCTCCCACTCACTTTTTTGCTCACTAGTCCTGTGCCGATATATTTGTCTGTGCGCATGTGTAAATTAGAGGCGGCAGGAGGGGAAATGTATTCATGATTCCTCTAGACGCCTAGAGACGTAATGAGCACACCTGCGCACGTGCGTGCATCCGATATGCGCTCCGCACGCAATGTGTCATCGTTGATATGAGTCGATATTATGTTCTTACGCTGACGCATGTAGTGACAGAGTCGGCATCAACTCAAAATGCCGAAATTTAGCCGCGCGGCATTTCGGCGTACTATACGGACACGATAATTAGATGCAATGCGTGCGTGATGGCTTGCCGGGTTACGGCTCGATGGCGCCAGAGCAACAGAAAGAGAGATCGAGAGAGGTTGTCACCTGAAAATGTATCATAATCGACCTATGACAAAGACAAATTGTATTGTAGCCTGTCCGCACGAGTACAGATACATAACAGCACAGTGTACCGTAGACGTGACATTGTGTTTATACGCATTGTTACGATGATATATTGTGTCGAATTAATGGTAAATAACGCGATAATAATGTTAATTCAATTCCCATCGAGTTACATTCGTGTCCAGTCGTCGCTAGCATACGCTTCTATTCGCAATATCAGGAGTAAATAATCACAAATGTGTGATTATTTACTCCCGATAATATATGCAATCAGTGCACGTTTGCGACCGATGTAGACATGTCGTTGATGTTTACGAAGGTGGTAAGCCGCAACAGACAGGAGAGTAGGATGCCGTTGTCCGGAATAGAGCACGCCGAGCTGTTTCTGACCGTCGCTACGTACGACTTTTCTTCCCACCGCTGCCCACGATACTCGCGACCAAGGTTGCAATTCTACCGGAAGCGTTATCGCGTCGGAGATGTTACCCTTCCGGAAATGTTACCTAATCGGAACTGCTACTATACCCCCACGGGAGGTGCTACGTATAGTCCGTTCCCTGGACTCATTCGGGGGTAGGAGAAAGTTACCAGGTGAGGTTGTGAGGTTGAGTGACATAGGCAGAGGTGTGTAGGAGAGACTGAATCGTTTCCCGGTGCTTCTCGTGGTCATTCCACCACGGTTCTCTACTCACTAGGAGTATGATATTTCAGGTCATCGTTTACGCGGTCGTCTCACGGTTTAGATTGTAATAGTTTGTCGTCCCTTGATAACTATGAAATGACCGAAGGCTCAGTCGAATTGTTATTCATATCAAAAAAGCTCAAATTTATTTACGCAAAGCTGCTGAACTGCAAAGCGATTGCAAAATAAACGTCATTTTGTCAAGATAAAATCCGGAGCATATCAAATTAATAAACGTATTTAGATTTGATGTACTCCCGATGACATTTGTAGTGTAAATGGTCGGTCACTCAGTATTTCTTCCGTTCTACATTATATACGTGTTCCGCACGTCCAGACAGACATGCATACGTCACGAGAGATACGTGAACGTGTGTACGTGTGCATTTTTCCTCCATCCTTCCTTCCCCACCATCTTTCTACATCCCTCACTCATCTCCTGAAGTCTATATCTAGGAGGTATATATATATATATACTATATAGTATAATGACTAGTCTGGTTTTGCGCCGTAGTTGTAGATGTAAAATGCTACGTTGCTAAACTCCGGCTTTCTATTATACCCTTGTCTAAAGGCCGCCGCACACCAGCCGATTTTTACAAACGATGAAGCGATGAAGCGATGTAGGTGTGCGCGTTCATTTGTAGACGATTTTATTTTTATCGGGTGATCGTTCCAAATCAAACATGTTTGATTTTGAACCGATGAGCCGATGAGCCGATGAGCCGATTTTAAGGCCGCCGCACACCTACATCGCTTCATCGTTTCATCGCTTCATCACTTCATCGCTTCATCGCTTCATCGTTTGTAAAATCGGCTGGTGTGCGGCGGCTTTAACGCTGTGAGTACAGAACATGCTGTAACAGCTGCTATGCTTACGCTACGCTGTAACAGCTGCTATGCTAACAGCGGTTAGCGCTGCTATGCTTAGCGCGATTTATTTAAAGTACGTAGTTCCGTGCGTGGATGCGTTGGCAATGTAGCAGATTTTAAACTTATATGGCATGACTTTTTTGTATCCTTGGTGAGTCACATACACACATGCGCACGCATACCAACTCACACAGACACACGTACGTACGTACGTACGTACGTACACACACACACACACACACACACACACACACACACACACACACACACACACACGCGCGCGCGCGCGCGCGCACACACACACACTACCATGTTTCTTATTAGTACTAGTAAGATTTCCATTCTATCGACTGTCTAGCATTTCTCGATATTGTTATGAATTTAGGCACGATATATGTGGTTGCAGTAGTGTATCGAAAAATAATTTACATCTTAGTTTACTTATTGTTTCGCATTTGTGTTAATAGAGCACGCATTATGTTAGAATTGCTTCACACGTAATTACACAGGTGTCATACTATACAAAAACGCAGCTGCGGGCCTTGTTGATGGACATGGTAAAGCTCAGCTTGACTGGAAACTGCAGCCTCTTGAACTGAAATGGCAGGTCTGATGGGATGAGCGGGATCCTTGGGATGAAGACATTTTCGCCCTTGCCCTTGCCTGTCATGATTTTGGCTTTGATGACTCTGGGCATGAGCTGCTTGACTGTGAGCCTTGTGCCGTTGCAGAGCTTGGGAGCATCCAGGTTGCGCATTAGCAATATGAGCGCGCCGACCTTGAGCACCAAGTTGTGTGGTGGCAGACCTGAGGGCGCGAGGCTGTTGAGAAACTCGGTCGGATAGTGCACCACCTGGTTAGGATCAGGAACTGTGTCCATCGACTTGTAGCTTGTATCTTTACTTTTCTGCTGTGCTAGGATTCCTCTACTTTTCTGCTGCAATGCGCTACTATTTTTATGTTCCGCGTATCAACTTGAGATTCGATTCCGTACTTTCGGATGGATCCATCATATCCGTGTTTGAAAATAACTGTTTTTAGTCAAATTTTCAGCCAAAAGCTGGCCAAGAATAACATTTACCTACAAAAAAGTGTTCCAAAAAAAGAAAAATCGTTTTTTCTTTTTTTTCTCTTATTTTTCCTTTTTTGCAATTTTTTTTGGCCTAAAATGGTCGTGGCGTCATGCTGATTCAGAATATATATATATGGTGTTGGGGGTCACCCCTTACGGGTCTCGAGAAGATAGACGGACAGACAGACAGATCCGGCCATTTATGTAGGAGATGTGGTTTGTGGGACCGCTAATGTATCTAGTAGTTATTTTCTTGAGGTATAGTTAACTGGACTTGTTATAACAAATCTATTATCACTGTCCAATCCACGTAACAAGTCATTGGTGACAACGTCGTTACCATTCGCAATGTAAACTTGGTTAATATTTCTTTTAACGCAACGTCTGTTTGGTTAGAAAGAATCTCTACTGCTTTATATTCTCGTTGAATAGTCAGATAGACGGAATCGGATAGAACGAAGTAGTTTTTGCAGCATGAATTAGTTGGTTGTGCGCGCCACAGTTCGCAAGATCTTGAGTACGTATAGTTCTGGCGTTTTATCGAACATTTTCCATGTAAAAATAAAAAAATGCTAGCAGCTGTGAAATATGGAACTTTATACTCGCTGGGCTGCAAACCTAGGTGTTTTGAGCTCATATATAACATATTTGAAATGTTATTGCTGTTACTATATGCCTCCTAAACAGTCCTGTTCATTTTTTATTATGTATACGCAGGCGAAAGAGATATGTGGGGCCATTTTTGACTGTATGTTTATTACAATGATGACACAATCTTGTTTCCAGGCTTTTGTATAAATTTATTATTTTTAATCTAAAAATAAAAGATTTAATACATTTAATAATTTAATAGGATCATGCTTAAATCGAAATTACACTGAATGTGTGGGGATGGAATGACCATAACACGGCCCGACGGTATGTTGTTGTATTTTGTAATAGCTGATTGTAACAAGATTAATCTTTATAAGTAAATCATAGTCGCCTATGTCACCCTAACATCATTCAAGCATAATATATAGTTCTGTAAATACATAAAAACTCACATAACGTTTTTATCGTTAGCCTGATGTGTATGATGATTAGAATTAAAATTGAAAATTATTCTTAAAAATTTATAATAATTTTGTTTGTTTGTTTCTATTCAAAATTGGTGCAACCTGTAATTGGTAGCTTCATCGGTTTTCATTTAGGTACTATTCGTAATTATAATGGTTAAATAATTTTTGTCTATTTAGAAAGTAGAACTACACGAATCTTTAAATACGTACAGTGTAATGATGATGCAATAGCAGATTTAATCAATAGACAACTGCGTAGACTGCTGGATAGGTGTCGCCGTTGGTATTCACAACCTGAAATGCTGCGTTACCTATCGTTTAGGCGGGGTCCTTCTGGCTTTTACGCAAGAAAAAGACGAGGAACAAGCCTAATATCGCTGCCTGCTGTGTGAGAGCGCGCTCGGATTAGTGAAAATTGATTGAATTAGGGCATTTATTAATTAGTTCGAGTGCTCTGATCCAGGCCACACATTCTTTAATGGTTGCTATATATGTATAGGAGATTATAATAATTTATTAAACGTTCCATTAGGTAACCAAGGCAACATTAGGTATATAAACGTTTCTAATCATGGTACCGTTAGTATAGTATGTAGATAATTTATGTTACAGTTCGAATATCTCTGAATATATAATCTGTTTCGTCTGCAGTGTACACATTAAAAATGGAACGCGAACAATCGCCCATTTTTATACTACATATTTACAGTTCTATCTTGTTCAGTACCATGATCCCGTTACAAGATATGGACCCAGTCATTGTATAAAAAATTACGCGCCAATCACTTGTCTATATATATACAATATATAATATAAGGCTAGGCCGCTAGGAATACAATAATTATACACAAATTAAGCATGATCTCGATTGAATTACAACTCACCATTACAATATGTGGAATATAGTAGCTTACGGAATAACTATACAGTTCTTGTCACCAGCTGGTGCTTGGCAGATTGAAGTTATCTGGGACTTAGCATAACTGCACTAGTCACTATCTTGCACACACCAGAAGGCCCGAGTCAGTTAGAGGTCGTTAACCAAAGTCTTTTTTGTAGATGCCAATGTGATATCTACAGGTCGGACAGTAGTGGTGAACATCCTTTAACTCTGGGATGAAGAACGGCAGAAGGCAGCAGCCGGCAAAACACCTGAAGGAATTTTTGAAGGAAACACATTAGAATCAATGTAAATTTTACACACACACACACCAGCAGCACGATCAATACTTTATACTCATAAGGTTTATATGAAATGGCTTGTGGCATCTGCAGAGCACTCATAATAGGTGTGCATTTTAATAACTTTAATAATTATCGGTTCTATATGTATGTTGCTGTATATCATTAAGAATTAATACGACGCACACAAAGATCAATGAAATATTGTGACAAGCTTTGTGCGACCTTGTGCGGATGGCGAAACATCTATAAGACCTGTGTAGCAGTATGACGTACCGCAGAGCATTCACACGAGGAGTTCGTGCGGGATGAGTCCATACGGAATATTCATCCAACAAAATAATGACTGGCTACCCTATATATACATTGTTGATATGTAGTTATGGTGATACGTAGAGAGTCGTGAAAACATCACCGTAGACAACAGACAATATGGACAACAGAATCTTAACAGCAAAGCAACAGCGGCCGGAGAGGCTCCTAACGAAGTACCGAAAATCTTAGTTCACGGTGAATACCCCCATCCCCGTACAGTTCTCTGGAAAGTAAAACGAGCCGAAAACAACAAGGCATGAAATTCGTATGAAAATCTAACCAAATCTTATTTCACGATAACGGAACGCGTATAGTTTATCCGCAAACGTTAATTTCGAGAAGTTAATTGCGAGATATATATAGAAAAAAAGATCGCATTTCACGCTAATGTGAAACTGCCCGTTTACAGCCGTCTCGTGCATTATGGAATGAACACCCCAGTCTCCCTTGGCAACGGGTGCGCACATGATTCGATCTTTTATTTTATTTTGTTGGATGCATAGTTGTTCGGTGTAACTAGTTTGTCTGCATTGATCGTAGCTATGTTTGCAGAAGGACACGAATTTCAGAATCAGGCGCATTGAATACGAGATACAGTAGAAAATCGCCATTATCTAGATACAGTCTAAAATCGGTAGCCCCTAGAAATAATGCCGCTAAATATTACCAGGTCGGTACAGCTACGTTACTGTACGAGGACGAGACGAAAGAATTCTCGCTAAAGCATTTAGGATTGCGAACTATGTCGTTCGTTGCGGAGCGGGATACGCACACGAGCTTTTCCCTGGTAACGAGCGTGAGCTCAATACGGACCGAGTATACTCACCCCCCCCCCCTCGCGGAGAGCCGCGCACGCACGCCCACACGCACGCTTGCACCACGCACACACGCACACTCGCACGCTTGCACCACACACGCGCGCACACTCGCACGCGCGCCCGCACGCATACACACTCGCACGATTGCACCACGCACGCACGCACGCACATACGCACGCTCGCACGCACTATTCGACAAACAAACATTACTAAGATAAATCGAAGAATTAATGCTGAACATCGACCCCACCACCGAGTAACAAACGCGGGCGAATGCTGCGGTAAAAATTCGCGTGTGCATCGCCGCGGGCCTATCATGTTCCCCATCCTTACCCAACGACGCAGAGTACCAGTGCCAACGCGTATACCATAGTGCCAGTTACACGCTCGGTCATCGTAACGACGGAGGCGTTACAGTTGGGGCACTGCATCTGTATTGGACGCGGCGACATCAGGTTGTGCTGCCGTGCTATCATCACGGTTGTCTGAGCGCTAGGCATCGACACGGCAGCACATGCAGGCGTTGATGCATATGCTGCAAGTAGAACGAATCGCAGCGATGCCGAAAACGTCCAAAAGTTGTTATGGGCCAAGTTGAGGCAGTTTATGTCGTCGTCGTCGTCGTTGTTGTTGCTGTAGTTGCTGTTATCATTATTATTATTATTATTATTGTTGTTGTTGTTGTTGTTGTTGTTGTTGTTATTATTATTGTTGTTGTTGTTGCTGCTGCTGCTGATATTATTTGTAATGTTATTGTTGTTGTTGTTGTTGTTGGTGATGATGATGATGATGATGATGATGATGATGATGATGATGATGATGATGATGAAGATGATGATGATGATGATGATGATGATGATGATGATGATGATGATGATGATGATGAAGATGATGATGATGATGATGATGATGATGATAATGATGATGATGTTGTTGTCGTTGTTGTCGTCGTCGTAGTCCTCGTCGTTGTTGAGTGCGTGTTAGTTGTAAGCAATTAAAGTGCTCAGCGCATGCGCCGCGGTCCTTCTTTAAACACGCACACGCACAAATTCGCCACATACCTGTATATTGCCTACTTCCTACACCTGCGGTAATAAATGTCGTCGTCGTTCGGGCGGCAGGCACTTGAATGTACGGCATATGAACCCCGTAAGCTGGGTTTTGCCCGTACACGTAGCGGGGCGGGTTGCTCGCATCGTAATATGCTTTTCCGACGTTTTCTGAATGATGATGAGTCATCGTTGCCGAGTTTTCTCCCGTTAATGGCACCGCGTTCGGATGACCGCTACCAGGTGGGGCTGAAGGTTCGTCGGCCACGACTGAATCGTAAGGGGGCGGGCGGTCCTCTGTCGTTGGATTACTGGTGTTGTCGACCTCCATAGTGTGTTGTACCTAGATGAGATGATCAATCATTTAATTATATGCACAATCCTAGTTTGTGACCACGGCCCTCATTTGCGCAAATGTGCTAAACTAAGCCGGGATACTAAATTGGGCCCAAATTCATTACAATTAGTTCTAGTAACGAAACAATCATGGTTATATGTGAGCATAATCGAGAAGCATGCGTATTCCTATTGATGATATCCTGATGATAATATCCTGATGTACCGTTTTAGTTTTTCAATCAAAATCTGCCACTGTGCGTATATGATACCAATTGTTTTACGAACGAGGTGCTTAGGCCAACGTGAATTCATATATCATACATATATCATATCATGCTATATATATTACCTAGCTGGTGCTCTCCCTTGTGAAATACTCGCACCGCCTACCAATTAACTAACAACCAGTGCTACCAACGTACGCGGTCTATCTTTTCCATGGGCGTCAATGTTTACGGCTGTTGATTTAATTGCCTGGTGACCGCGGGACGGGGAAGAGTGCGCACCACGCGTCCAAATGCAGAACTACCGGTATAACTGAAGCCAATAGTTCTCACCGTGAACTGTAGTAGGCTAACGGAAAACCCGCACATCATCTTAGTCGACGTTGCAGGGTCGGGATGATGGGATGAGTTGGCGTTATGCAAATAGTGGGCGCAATGATGGTGTAAAATGATAGCGCAAATAGTGTAAATGATAGCGCAATGATGGCGCAAATGTTAGCGCAAAATGATAGTGTTGTATTGTAGGGCTGCGTGCTAATTAACCAGGGGCGTTTCTAGACAGACGAAGCGTGCGGCTAATTACGCTCTTGAATATTCGATATTATTGTAATAACATAACTCCATAGCCCACCGCGCACTCTAACCACCTAAACCCCGCGTTAGCTGGTTGGATTGAGGTAACGTCCGGGCGTTCGGGCCGTTTTGGAATGAGTATAAATAGGCTCGCTCGAACAGAGAGCAATAATATGATATATTAGAGAATAGAGATATTAGACAGTTACTATATAGAGAACGGAAGACGAGACGCGGGAGCTAGACATGGTTACCTAGGTTGCCGTCGTATATATATATATATATTTGTGTGTTCGACGGAGTACTAATAAAGTCAGAGTTCATAACTAATCTGCGACTACGTCATCTCTACTGCTTGCTACAAGTCTACGCTGTCGACTCTACAAGATCCTGCGCGGAGATCATCACCGTTCAAATCGCACTACAATAATAGCGCAACATGACGCAAATAGTGGCTGCAATGCAAATGACGGTGAGTGGGCACGAGGCATTGGGATCGACATTTTTCATACCACACTACTTGTGCCTTTGTGCGCTTTACTTGAAATGTATCATTTCGAGCAAGTATGTCTTTTAGCAGATACTAGACGTGCGGGCACACAGGATATGCGGATCTAGCATTTTTAAACTACATGGATGTGATGACGGAGATTGGGAAGGGTGGACATACTTCGACCCATAGCTTTTTTTAAACGGTTTCGATCCGATAGATTTTCATTACAGATTTTCTCCATTTTGAACCTATTCTATTTCATATTTCAGCTGAGAGAAATTTTTAGCCACGTATACTGGAAACACCGCGCCTGCGGTAACATAGGGCGGGTCCTTCCCGATTCGCCCCCTGGTGTGCGTGCGTGTGCATGTGTGAGCGCGCGCCTGTGTTATCTCTAGAGGATAACAAACGTGTTGGATGAAGCTGTTTTGGTCACGTGACTTTACGCGCGATCACTTTAATGAGATTAACATAAAACCTCTTGGTGGTAGTTTTTGTTAAAAGGTCTGAGGAACATCTTTACGGCACTACCACGCGATACAAGGAAGGTGCGGAAAAAATATAACACCACTAAAAACTCAGAAATTATGGTGGAGAAATTGACTTTTCGCTGGTCATGATCGTACAATCTCACAGGTTTATAGGAGCCATCACATCAAGAGCACATGAACTACGTGAATTTAACTGCAGTTAAATTATGTGTAACACTAAACAGGGCCTCCGATTGGGTAAAAACGGCTATAATTTCACCGCGGTCAAATTATTCTTACCGCAGTAAACAATTATTCCTGATTACCATAGTCGTCGGGCTCTTGTTTCTGTACGGAACAGCAACAATAGAAAAATACAATTTGGAACCACAACACAGCAAACAGCAGCACATATCGGCAGTAACAAAATAGATGGACTATATACAACACGTTTACATTATCTCAAATAACATTGAGCAAATATTGGCACATTTTATTGGCATATTTTTAATGACAATTATATTATCATTTATCGATATATTCATCTATATATTATACTATTATTTTTATTACATTATATGATATATATATATATATATATATACAAGTAACAAGTATATATTTGGCTATCCATAAATGAAACTAAAACCACTGTAAAACTAGTAAAGACAGCTTGAGGGGGCTATGCTTCTATAAGCTGTGTGTGTGCGTGCGTGTGTCTGTGCGCACACACGCACACGTGTATGGTGCGCGTACGTGCGTGCGTATGTATGCATGAGTGCGTGTGCGCATGCGCATGTGCGTGTGGGGGTACACAGCTGTCTATATATCACAGACGCCGATCAATCCATTCTATGCAATGATCTGTCTTACAAGCACTGCACACCTCAGATTTACAACCTGATAACAACTTGGGACGTTCGAAAAATTCCAAAGCATAGTCATTGCCTCGAATGTTGCGAGCTCGCCAGTGAGACATTTAGTTCCCAACAATATATGCAATAAATGTGTAGCAATATAACAATAAATGCAACACATAAAATATATCACTACTCAATTACGCCTGTGGTGTACCTTCAATAGATATAATATTTCAATGATATACTGTTGGTAATAGCCACATTTCGTGTAAAAAATGAGAGACTGTAGCATCTGTGAGCATGCGTCACACATCCGCCACCCTTGCATCACCGGATTAGGGAAACTAGTCCCAAAACACACAATTATCACTGTCTACTTTTATATACTTGTACGTATGTATATATATATTATATACACACACACATATATGTAATACATACAACATCAACTGAGCCCAATTGTCAGTTCACAGCATTCTATAATCATAATTCATGTTAGAATGTTAAAATTATATTGCACGCACAACAGTAGGTTTTTATAGAATTTCACCAATCTCCACAACCACAAATGTACGTAAACCAGATATTTTCTTACAATATCTCCATGATCGTGCAAAACCCCCCTATCCATATAAGGTAATCAGATTTAAACAGGATATAAATTTTATGGCTGTATTTCGGGAAAACCATCGATATATATTTTGAAAGAAATTAACCCCACACCACACAGTTAGATATGGCCAGCAATATTTTATTATATTCTTACATCGACCCTTAATTATGACTAACGCCTACATAACATCTAGGCTACAATTTATTGGTCTACGGCCTGTTGTGGCCATAGGCGAGGCATTTATATGCCGATACCATCATTCAACATCAGCTATAGAAAACTGTCCTCCATTCTCAAATCAGGAAATTGGGGCAACACAAACAAAATCTCCCTATAAACCAACCCTTTACAGACACTAAAGCAACATGTTCCATGGGAAGCCAGAAAGGAAAGAACTGAAGGCTACTGAACGAGGTAATTCCATTTTGTATAAAACACCACAGCTTATTACTCACTAAAATACTGGTCAAAGTCGTGTGATTTTTGTTGCCTTATCACTTATGCACCACTATTATAATTGCAGAGCAAAGTTAGGACCGAGTTACAGACGAGACTTTGTAAACCTGGCAATGGAAAACGGCTCTAAAGGATAGGATGGTTTCTTGCCAAGTGCCAAATCTGCTAGTATTCTTCCTACCACTGGTGCCAGCTTGAATCCAGTGCCTGTCAGAATAAACAACCATACTTGACTCTAGGTTCTAGGGATATTTTCAGTAGATTTAGGTTAAAATTACGCTATATTAAAAATTTCATGGTTCAATCACCATTAGAAATATTTTTTTTAATATTTTAAAACTAACGACTACAGTTTGATTACAACGACGGTGCGCCACTCACAGCGCACTATCTGAAAAGTTGTGCAAATGAACTTTTCAGCCAAGGGCTACAGACCGAGGGTGTTTCTTATTTATTAATTTAAAAGCAGAAGGATTGCAATATCTTATAAACGACATATAGTTTCAATTATAATATGGATAAATTTGTCCTAAAATGAATATCGTTCGGTTAAATAGCATTTAGGTATAAATATAATTGAACTTTTGTGATTAGCCCTCGGTCTGTAATGTGCAAAATAAATTGGCAAATGCGCAATTTTTCCAGGGTGGCAGCACAGTCGTGGCTTCATGTCAGCGCCCAAAAATGAAGATTTCGAAATTCGATGTTGTTTTATGACAAACGTGAATGCGCAATTATAGATATTTATAGGTATGCGCTATTATTTATAAATCTACTATCATAATATACTCTCAAATTCTAGAGTAAAGTATTCCTTTAAGCAAGACGTGATCTTTTGCATTTCAATTTGATAAATTTAATGAAACATTATTCTTTTAATAAGCACACATTTTTGCAAAAGATTAAATATGGATGTCTTTAGCAGGCAGCACAATGTTGTCAATTAAATTGTCCTATAGTTTTGCTACATATCTACCTTTAACGCTCAATATCAAAAACCCAGATTAAAAATCTCAATTAAAAATTGCGGTTCTATATTTTGGCTAATGCTATTGCAAGTACATTGTAACATTTGATTTTAAATAGTGATAACAAAACCATACCTGAAAATCCAGCTCCTATAATGATGTTTTTGTGTTTTGGGTGTCTGTCTAATATAAAGCTCTCATCGGGAGTGCACTGAAAGGTGGAATATATTTATAGTGAACTATAGCCTACATAAGTCATCATTACTATTATTTCCAGTCTTCACGCCTGCCTCCCCTTTGGCTTTCATAAGTATATACTCTAACGACCAATCATGAAAGATAGATACAGTCATATAGAACATGAACTCGAGGTTAAGAATCACCATAATATATTAATTGATCTTGAAGCCAATCTACAATTAGATGTTTCACGTCGCCAGTCCTGAGTTATAGTGTTCGTGCTCACCGTATACATGCATGTCTCCATGATACTTGGCTTTGGCTCAACGCAGGGGAAGCGCCGACGCACATACTTAATGAGGCCATCGATGTGAGACTCAGCAGGTGAGACGCGATCCCTGTCATCCGGGTCGGAAGCTACACCACCATGCCAACAGATCTATTTGTCCAAAGAAATTGGAATGAGTTCCATAAGTTTCAAGATCTTAATTACTATCAAGTCACAGTAAGGAGACTGCGGGAAATTGTGAGAGAGTGCCTGGGAAGTGGTCTATGGCTATGATACTACATCCAGGTATACCTTCATGAGGTCCTCATACTCATCAGGTGGCAAACTGTATGAGTGCTCTTCAGCACTTATGTTAACTGTGCAAGGCCATACAGCTCCCATACGCGAAAATTCAGGCTTCATCCTCCAAAAACAAACAGTGGTTTTGACACTCTGAAACACATGAATACGAGTACATAAATAGAGTACCTTATAAATAGAGTACCCTATAAATAGAATCACCTTCCTGCCACATCTATACCTATGCTGTTTTCCACACAAGCATACATGCATGAACACACATTGAGCAAGGGAATATTCATTTAAATTAAATGCGCAATAAGGTAAATTAACGTAGTTTGATCTCAAAAACCTTCAGCGTTTATATCACACATGTTGATTTGATAAGGTAAAAAGACAAAGCATCTAACAATAATATTGCTGTAATAAAACCTGTTACCTCCAATGGCAAATTTAGCCCCAGTGATTTTAGGAATTTGGGTGCCCAGGGTCCAAGGCACAGTATAGCGGAATTAGAACGGTATGTGCCATGAGACGTTTCAATCATAACGCTGGTATCCGACTCAGGTATGATTCGCCTGACTGGTTCCTGATCACGGATTTCTCCTCCATTCCTCACAAACATCTCCTGAAAATATATGATTATATATATTTCAATAAATATTACAATGTTAAGACTTTCAATCGTAATATATATATATTAGTATAGTATGCATCGTATAATGGTACACGCATAATGAAATGTAGTTTAGCTTATTTCATGTAGAGTTAATAATTTTTATTGGAAACACATTTATTGATACAGCATTCATACAATACCATTTAAAAATGATTCAATATATTTGATTAATGAATTAATATCGACAGCAAATCATTATACATAGTAGACTCCTGTGTAATATAACAATTCATTTTCATGAGCATCTTAGTGCAACGCAAACGACAACACACCTGTAGGCATCGGAGAGCTTTGTCGGCTTTAAGTATGCCAGCATCCGTATCAATTACAGCTGTCTCATTGTCAGATAAGAATACGCCTGGATATTTACCATTCACCTATATGCATGAACACATTAAGACCAAACGTCAATATTAAGACATCACCATATTACTTGGTTAGTTTTGGCAAGTGTGTCTGTGTCATGTGCGTGAATGTGCATATACGTGCATGTGCACATTTGTGCACAAGCCTGAGCAGTGTGTGTGCAGGCGTGAAATCATTGGATGGGCTCAAACAGAACATCCTATAACACTTTAATAGAATTCAGCAAACCTCAGTCACTACGTCACAATTGAACTACTGCGCTTCATTTCCTTGGCTGTATCATATAGGTTGATATGCATCTACACCTTGCATTTCTGATTTGTCAGAGATCAGAATCCATTACTGATAAGGAACTACTACTCTTTGCAAGTAGACAGCGCGAGGGATGTCTTGGAGCACACCACCCCATAATCTGTAGGGCCCACTAACAGTTCACCTCATTTAATCTAATTTCTACTAATGAGAGCATGTCCTCCTACAGCAAGTAGTACTTTTAGACGTGTTCCTTAGATCTATACCCAACATCAAAATGACAAGAAACCCCTATCTAACCTGTAAATGTTCCATCGAAGACATCCGCCTATTTATGTTATTATAAACAACTTTCAGGTAAGTTTTTCCAGAGTTGTATAGTCATTTATCAACAGATTATTTGTGTGTAAAGTGAACAAATTTTTATCAATTCCAGGTATGACAACCTGGCTGCATTATATAGGCAAGGTGAGTTTAAGTTGGAATTAATAGATCTATGTAATTGTGACAGGTACTTGGCTGCACAATTACAAGCCTATATGTAATACAGTATTGGTCGGTTATCTAAGGAAATGACGACTACATAACTAAATGTATTATGTTACTATGCCACCTTTAATTGTTATACTTTCAAATAATGCACAGCAAACACTATGAATCTACGTTGGATATATCTCACATACCTGATTGGCGGTCAAAAGCTCACTCTTCATGTTCAAACTATTTAAAATCTTTGCGACTGATTCTGTCACGTTTAGATTTTCACTGATCATCACTAATCCAGTTTTCCTGAAAAGAAACAATTTACCATTTCTTACAGTTTTCAATCTTTTAATAAATTAATCAAGTTTTCACATATGGTTCACACATACTAATTAAACTACTACCTAATCCAAGTGATGAATGGATAGAATAATATATGCACAATTTTTGACCCGATTTACATACAATAATACCTACATGTAGATTTTAGTTCCTGTTTCTTTCTCTAGCTCCTGCCAGTCGGAATAAGCTTCATTCATCATTTCGCAGAAGTAATCTTCTTCATAAGCTCGTCTAATCATTCGTGATGCACCATGGGAACTCCCACGGTTATGTGGAAGTGGAAACTGCAATTAAAATAATTGTTAACCATCTAGTATCTACATATATGCATGAAACATATATGTACATATATGCTCTATAGAAAAAATTCTATATACTCAATATACTCTATAGAAAAATGTCCTATAGATCTATAGATTTTTTCCTATGGGACTCTATAGAAAAAATTTCCTATGGGGGTCTATAGAAATATCAAAACCCTTTTCATCAATCCTAGTTTGGGACCCCGGCCGGTATATTCACATATGACATATGTGCTAAGTAAACTAATCCGGAGTGCTCAACTAGGATTGGGCCGAGAAGCTTTGTAAAACTTGCTGCAAATCCTCTACTTATTTAGCAGGCAACATCAGGAAATAGCGCAAACTTTTAGCTAATGCCGTAATGGGGCTTTCTGAAACGCAGTCCACTGTGCAGGACTCTTGAAATTGTGTGCTGTGAGGGCTGGAAGTACGTGCGTGCGTGATACAGAGATCACATAATATAATATAAGAGCATGCAGGCTTATGTCGCTTAATTTAATACATAATATAATATATTAATTAATTGTTAATATTAATTATTATGTCAATTGCCAGGCAGATATGACACAGAGAAGTAATGGCTCACATATATGTAGCCTACCTCTAGTAACTATAGCCCGCGTACAGTTGCCGCAAGCCTGCGGCAACCGTACGCGGGCTATAGTTACTAGAGCTATGTGTACTTGTACTTCTACTTCTATACTGGACAGTCCATAAGGAATAAACGTTCAGGGAGTGCGCGAAAACTCCAGGTGCACGCGAGAGATTTGCATGGAACAATTTTAAATGTAGGCAGTAATGTACGTGTTCCAGAGATCGAGGCTTCTCTGGGCCAGGCACTCATTACTGAGTGTGACTAGCATACGGCAATAGGCTGTTGCGAGCTGTTGTAGTTGCCCAGCTGGAGATGTGTTTCGCTTCCTCGAGGTGGGTTAACAACGATACTGCCTGACTCAATGTTTTGCCAGAGGGACCCAGTGAATTGCTGTGATGTTGGACTAGTGAGTATAGTGACTCCGGTAGTCCGGTAGCAGGTTCCAGCTTCTGATTGTTCTAGGAAAAAAGCTGAACCTGTACCCATCTGTCCGGGTTCTGATGTTGTTGTATGTAAGCCGGTGTGTGCCGCGGCATATATGCTGGTGCTTTTGGTGAGGAAGGATGGAATGTCGACTGCTGCCTGTCCGTTGATTATTTTCCAGAATAGGGCCTGTCGGTTAACAAACCTGCGTTCCTGCAAGGAGGGCCATTGTAGATCTGCGATCATTTGTGTAACACTCTCAGTTTGCTGGTATTGGTAATTTCCCGTTACGAAGCGCACTGCTCGTCTCTGCACTCTCTCCAGGGAGGAGATATCCTTCTGTCTGTGTGGATCACAGACACTACTTGCATATAGGCTTGGCCTCACGTATGCTTTGTATGCCATCCCTTTGACAGGTTCTGGGCATCCTACAAGGTTCCTGCGGATGAAATCTAGGGTCCGGGACCCCGGGTTGCCTTTCCTTTCGACCGGCTGATGTGGGTAGACCAAGAGAGGTCATCAGTGAGCTCCATTACTGACCTACATCAGTGTAGCCTAGCTTTTGAGATTAACATGTCTGATAGGACACTGCCCGGCCATATTGTACTGACTTTGGAAAGAGTGTATAATTGAGATGTTTTTAGTTAGGTGGTCGATCGCAATGGCCGTCTGATCACAATTTGCTTCGTCTTCTCTCCAGATAATCTTCCTATATCTCCACAAATCTTCTCCTCACACCTACAGATTCCAACTCAACAACTCCATAAAGAATATCAGCACATCTAACCCACATCTGATTGTGCACCTAACAACTTAACAAGCCTGACATCCTGCACCTGCGATCCAAAAAATTCATACCTGTTCTACACTTGAGTTTCACGCCATATTTACCCCATTCTCTACTTCTCCATCGGCACTTCCGGAACCTACGAAATCCGGAGCAACCATCACCTGTACTGCTACAGTGCTACTATATACTTATCAGGGTGTCTTTTATCACACACATACCTGAGGCTGTGGTAAAGTAAGGCCGAGTCAGCTATCTATTAAAAAATCAGCTCAGCCGGAAGTCACTAAAAAAGAATCTGGTAAAGACGGAAGTAAAATGAAAGTGTCATAGACACTGTAGCTCACCACAAAAAAAGGACACAAATGAGTGAGTGAGAAGAGGTCAGTCAGTTTTAC